AATATTCTATGAAATTTCCTTCTATAAAATTGCCTTTTCTTCGTCATAACTTCTTGCCCTTGGTCCCCCTCAGGAATCGAGCGAAATTTTTAGAATTTCTGTTCAAAACCAATACTATATTCGTAATCTACGTACGAAACTGAGTTCAATGATGTATATTTAGCAGAAAAAAAATTTTCTCAAAAATTTGTGCCTTTGGTCCCCCTCAGGCACTAATGAGAGTAAATTGAATTTTTTGTGGGTTTCGAGTGTTTGTCGCCAAGTTTCTTTTGTCAGTTTATAGGTTTTAAGTGATGCTCTTTACGATGGAATAGTCAAAATCTGGATGCCTTAAGTTCCCCATAAAGTGAACTTATACCCAGCAAACTGCTATTATTATAGTTTGTTTCTGAGTAATATTAGCATGCTTATATTACACAGGTAAATTTTGTCAGCTCTTCGAATATGACAGCACATAGTTTGATTAAAGAGTCAGAAAATATTGAATAGGTATGCTGTATTTTTTATAAGTGAAGTTTAAAACTACAATTAGTAGATTATTGTTTCATAGAACTAAATTATTTAAATTATATTCAAAATGGAACGATAAAATTTGAAAGAGTATAAAAGAAAATAGGACGCCACTACTAATCAAACATTCCTTTATTGCCTGGCTTAAACGCTGGATTGATAAATCTTAGATTTTTTTCACCCATTTTATCAATACTATTAACATCATCTGTCGTTAATTCAAAATCGAAAACATCCGCATTTTCAATTAATCGTTGAGGCGTCACGGTTTTTGGAATAACAATGAGACCATGTTGTAAATGCCAACGAATGATGATTTGTGCTGACGTTTTATTATATTTTTTTCCTAATGCTTCAATAACTGGATCATTAAGAGCCGTTACAGAATCACCTTCACGTTTTAAATTTGATAATGGGCAATAACTAGTGATAGTAATTTGGTGTTGATGACAATAATCTCTCAACTCTTTTTGATTCAAATAGGGATGTAGTTCAATTTGATTTGTAACCGGTTTTATTTTAGCAACTTTTAAAATTCGTTCAATTTCAGATGAATTAAAATTGGATAAACCAATGGAATGTGTTAATTTTTTTTCAACAAGTTTCTCGAGACCTTCCCATGTTTGTTCTAATGAAATACTTTCTTCATAATATCGTTCTTTTTTATCTTCACTTTGACTCCATCTATTTTCTTTTATTTTTTTAAATGCAATTGGCCAATGAATTAAGACTAAATCAACATAATCTAATTTTAATTTATTTAAACTATCTCGAACTGCCCATTCAGCATCGTCGGGTTTATGATACTGATTCCATATTTTCGTTGTGATAAAGATGTCCTCACGTTTAATGTGACCTTTACTTTCAGCGATTGCTTCTTTTATACCATTGCCAATTTCAGCTTCATTTCCGTATATCCATGCTCCATCAATGTGTCTATAACCATGAAGTATTGCTTGTTTTACAATTTCTTGTACTTGACCAGGATCCGAACGCCATGTACCAAGACCTGGCATATAAAGAAAGAGTCATATAAAAATGATGATCGCATACTAAAGAAATATTGATTGTATCTGCTAACCCAATTGTGGTATGGAGTGTTTATCACTCAACGGTATCTGAGTATTGATTGTAAGTTTGGAAGAGGAAGATGATGCTGCCATAATCAAATTGTCTAGAAAAAAAACTGAAATCATAAGAAAATTGATTAATAGGATGAGAACGCTAAATACGAACAAAAACAAAAGAAAATTAGTCAGACTATTTCTTTTGTATTAAAAAGAAATAGTCTAACTGATTTTCTTTTGTATCAAACAATTTAGTATAATCCAAAATCAACATTCTAAGAAAACCTATTTTTTTGTTTCTAAAAATTATAATGAAGAATAAAACATATATGTTACGTTACATACATGAAGGTTTTGAATTTGATATTTTACACAATGTTGTCAATAATCTTCTGCAATTTTTGCTTTCATAAAGCTTCAAATAGTAAAAGAAAACAGAAAAAATTCGAATGCAATACTGTTCTGTTAAAAAATAAGAAGTATCATTAGCAAATAGAACAAAAGAAAAAAATGTGTATATAAAGTATGTAAATGAAAAGGCAATTTTATAGAAGGAAATTTCATAGAATATTTAACTTCTCAAAATTTTATAAAACTAACTGACAAAATTTTCTAGTTTTTATTATAATCTCATTTGTCTTGTCAAACAGATCAATAGTGGAAATACGAAAAGTAAAGATGTGAGAGGGAGAAACTCCAATAGACAACAACCTAAAATAAATTTCAACAAAATTTCCGCGATTCTTATGTTTTTCATAGTCATTGATGATGATATTAAAAAAAAAACAGATAAATTGTATAATAAGACATGACCTACTACTATTTTTGAAAACATTGACTGATTATTCGATTCCACCCGCTTGAAAAGTACTATTTGATGAAATAGTGTGATGATTTATAGAATCTAATCACATCTAGAATCTTAGTCTAAAAATAATTCTTCTGTTTAAAGAGCATGATCGATAAGAACTAGATTTATTTTTCCCGTGTACGTTCTAAGCTGTAAACAACATAGAACTTTTTCACAAAGCCAACTTAACCAACAAGTAAAAAAAAATTATAAAGCCTTTTAAACTTTGCTATTACAACCAATTAACAATTTTTTATCTACAAAACGGTGCATAACAAAGAATACGTTGTTGTTATTCGTGATCATATTCTTGTTTGAGATTCACTGCTGTCGCTAGAGAAAATTTTTGGTCATCGTCCGATTCATTATCCGACGATGAGGAGTCTGATTCAGACAAAGTTGATTTGACATCATCGTACGTTATGCCATTAAATATGTCTGATGCAAATGAAAATGATTCGTGTTTCATTTGCCTTAATGGCGCTGTGGTTGATGAGGAAGGCCCTCCTATGGTTATCGTTGACCCACTGCCTGTTGCATAAGATGAGGACGGCCCGATATTCGCTGCTGTTACCGACAAGGCTTGCTGCTGCTGTTGTTGAAGTGTTTGTTCACTTAAACGTCCTAGAATTCCTTTTCTCATTTCAATGTCGGTTGGATATGGTCGACGCGTGTCACCTTGTTGCCAATTATCGGGTGCCGTTGTGGCATAAACACTTGCCAATTGATAAGCATAGCGTATGATATCTTCAGAAGAGAATACTTTTGCTCTACGTATATTTTGTAGTTTTTGCTTAGCTTGATAAACAGCTGAACTCAATACTTGAACAGCTTGTATCAAATATGTTTGAAGGCAGCGTAATGCACGCTCGCATTTTTGTATTTGCTCTCGTTTCTGTTGTATTTGACGCTCAATTTCTTGTTGATGTTTAACGATGACAATTTGTTTTAATAATAGTTCTTGTCGTTCAATAAACAAGTCCATTAATGTTTGCGAATCTAACTGATGTGGAGCAGATGATGACGCTGACGACGTAGATGAGACGATTGGATTATGTAACTGATAAACTAATTCACGACAAATTATATCCATTTCTTGTAATAATAATTTAAGCTTTTTCCTAGTGCCCAATGAATCATTTTGAACTATTTCAGACATACTAAAGATAAATGTGAATCTAAAGGAATAAACATGTAAACGCTATCTTACACGCTCAAACGAAAGTATATGCCAGTATTGCATAGCTTTGTTGAAAACGCCATTCAACCAAGCGTAGTTAGTCATGAGTCTATTCTAAACGGCAATGTGAACAGGTAGATTCAGGACTACAAGAAGAGATCTTTAGAATGGAGTCTGAAGTAGTACTGATTTAATGTGAATTTGTCGTTGCGTACACAGCATATAGGGTGATTTCTTCATTCTACAAATTGTTTAAACTGTCCATCAACTTTTCGTCTTCTTTCATCAGCACGTGTCTGCTAAAAATTTTGTTTTGATCACTATTCGTTTATCAAACTTCAAAGTTAGCCTCTTTGATCCAAAACAAGTGAAAATCCCGTGCTTCTCTTACAAAAATTTGTGAAAAAGCGTCCAGCAGTCAAATAAAACCATGAAAATTTAAAATTAAACATATACGAAATTTACGGTATTTCTGGCTGCTCGTTCTCTGAACACAAGCAATGAGAGACTTGCACTCAAAAAAAATATAGTTTTCTCATTAAATTTTCAGAAATTCGATTAAACATCAATCAGAATCTCAAAGTGTACACGACGCACTAAGTAAGATAGGGTTCACCCTTAATTTTTGGAATATCAGTGCTCTTTGTCATTGAAAAGAACTGATCTAGGTTAGAGAACGTCAGGCGATAACTAAATTAGAATAAATCTAAGCTGCATAAAAAGAATATTCCCTTTTCGTACAAAGATTTCACTGTCTACACAAGATGCTGCTTGTGTCTTACGCGTATCACTCATACAATTGTTGTTTCCGCTAGTTGTCAATTGATGGCTACTTTTAGAGGGCTAGCGAAAATCAAACGCAACTATCCGTACATATATATATATATAGAACACAATCAGCCATCTTGCAACCAATAGAATGACGAAATAATTCCTCTAACGTGCCTATTTTTGTTTATAACAACTAAGATAACTATCTATTTCTACAGTTTTCTTTTCTGCAATATCTTTTTATTGCTCAATCGTAGGGCAAGATCATAAAAATAGTGCAAGACAATATTTATAAGATCGTTGAAGTGCATACGCTGGGAAAAAATCGTTACAATCAATGTATTGCACTGATTTCAGCGTTCCATTACATCTTACACATTAGTTTTTAACTTTCATTCTTGACATACTTTAATCCAGAATTAGTGCATTAAAACCAATAGGAAATAGAGTGAAAGTATTTTTAATGTACATTTTGATTAATTTTCACAGTTGTCTCTGTTAGGATAACAAGTGTTTCAACCAGATTTTATTTTTTCTTCTAATACAATATTCGATGCATTCTTAATCACAGAAAATGTATCTATTTATATTTTATACTCAATAACTGCGTTGAGGTAAAACGAAGTTTATCCTAGGAGTCATTACACGATAGCAGAGACCTAGTGTGCTCAATTTCTTTTTTTTAAATTTAATTCTGATTCCGCTAGTTTGTAGCTCTACTAAGGTTGAGTATATTCTGAAATTTTTTAACCTTTAGCGGTGTTTCATTGATCGAGAATAAATTTTTTATCTCGACACATCACTCTATTCCACACGTTTTATGACTTTTTGTATGGTCGACCATACAAAAAGTCATAAAACGTGTGGAATAGAGTGATGTGT